ATTGGTATTTTCGAGTTCAGGATAATCGTATCTATCGATTTGAGGCGGTTTTGGCCGAATTGCTATGAGACAAAAATTTTCGTCGTCATCTCTCTAACTATTAGAAAGCAAAAATGCAAAGAGATTTGCAGCTCTTTCAAAATACTATAGGTACTCTTTTGATTTTTTTTTATTTAGATATCTCATTAACCCTCTTCAAGCAAGATCCACTATTAATCTAATTTTGAAACATGCTTTGCTCAGTTGCTGAATTGATTAGGAAGTTGATAGTTCATTTACGATTTACCTACTATTGTAAGTACTACGATATTCAGCAATAGAACGTCGATAGTGGGCACAGGGCACAGCTATCTAGCTAGTTAGTTAGAAAGAATAAATAAAACAACATAACGAGTTTTAAAAATAGTTTAGTAAATATTATGGTAAGTAGGTAAGCACTTACGCATGTCAGGTGCATGTTTATATTTTTGGGCACTGTACGAAGTAGATACCATTTCACGTCTTAGGACGAGTAAGAGTACAATTTCAAATTTTCGTTTTCTTCTTTTTTATAGAAGCACGAAGTTTGGAATAAAATTGTGCTCGATCTAAAAGCAATCGATATAAGACGAATCCCCTGATGGTAAGCATTCGGCGTCGCCCATGGACGCCTGGAACACCAGAGGCGTTACAAGTGCGTTACCGGCCTTTTGGGGATTAGGAGTTTGAGGATCGTTGGGGATTTAGGAATTGGGGAGATTGGGAAAGGGGAACCCTCCCCTTTCCCGATCCTCCTCCTCCTCCTCCTTGGGCCTCCGGTAACTTCATTCACACGACGAAACACAATGCAAGCGTTGCTTCACGTCGGTTTTCTGTAAGACCGTGATATCACTCCAGTCGAGACAGCCCATTCGTGCCGAAGCAGGGCTCTCCCACACATAATACACATTACATTGTATAAGTGTATGTCTTTCTTACCTGCCTATCCTTATAGTATATATATAATTCTTAATGTCCGATATGAAAAAATTGTTCATACAAGTGTGGGAGAGCCATGCTTCGACACGAATGGGCCGGCTCGACCGGAGTGATACCACGGCCTCACAGAAAACCGACGTGAAGCAACGCTTGCGTTGTGTTTCGTCGTGTGAGCGAGGTTATCGGAGGCCCAATTACCTTCCCCTTCCCCAATCTCCCCAATCCCTGAATCCCCAACGATCCTCAAACTCCCAATCCCCAAAAAGCCGATGACGCACTTGTAACGCGTCTGGTGTTCCAGGTGTACATGGGCGACGCCGATTGCTTACCATCATGTGATCAGTCTGCTCATTTACCGGCTTATGCCATAAAAAAAAAAAAATACAAAAGTAGTCTCTAAACATCGGAACTAAGGTCGATAATGGTGTAAGTGGAGAGTGGTCACTGGTGACTGCTTGGATCTTGACCAGCTAAAAGACCTAAGTTATGTTATGGTATAGTTCAAATTAAGTAGTTTTTAACTAATTTGCAATCATAGTATGGATTAAAATAAAACAGAAACAACAGTATTAATTTTATATTATTATATTATATTAACATATTATAAACACATTACACAAACAAGTAACACAAATAAATAAACTAGATTTGGTGTATAGTAATTTATTACAAGATAAGTGTCCTTATACACATTAAAATATTAATCTTTAGTGTTAAATGATATTTTAAACATTTGATTTTGGAAATTTCATGACCATGTATATCCTCAAAACATTTTCTTTTTCATTGCAGTATACCTCTCCGTGTATTCATTATATCCTTCAACAGACACCAACTGTTTTTGCTCAAACAAATTACCATCCAAACTGATGGTATGCATTTTAGAGTCCCTCAGCAAACTCGGCCTGATCGCATCTAAACTCAAACAATTCTCTTCAAGCCTCAATATCTTCAGTCTAGGAGCCAGGTGCATGTCTTCACTGATAGTTGATATCTCATTCTGACTCAGATTAAGCTCAGCCGCATACAACTCCGACATTCCTTTAGGTATCTCCGTTATCTTATTATGAGATAAGTCCACAACCTCCAAGCTATGAAGACCTAACAAATGTGTCGGAAACTCCTTTATCCTGTTATTACTCAAATACACTTGTTTCAAGTTACTCAGCTTAGCAAAAGACTCTGGTAGGAATGTTATTAAGTTATTAGACATATTAAACATCTCAAGCTTCTTCATATTGCCTAAAGAATCTGGAATGGTTTCTATTCTATTTGTGTCTAGATTTAGTTGCTTTAACAACTTGAATTTACATACGTCATTGGGTAAAGATGATAATTTGTTCTTCGATAAATCTAAATTTCTTAATTTATCACTTAAATTGAGAGCTTCTACAGGTATTTCTTTCAGCTTGTAATCAGACAATTGTAAAACACCTGTTTTCGACGCAGTTTCATAATGCTGCTTAATACTAGAGTTCCCCATTTCAACACTCACTGCAATTTGTACGTATTGTCTAATATATAACTAAAACAAAGTGATAGAATCATGTAATATTGATATTTTGTATTGTTGTGACTTTCAATTTATTTTTATTATAGTTTTTTTTTCGTGTTGATGTTGAATTTGACACATTGAGTCATTGACATTTTGTTTCAGACATTCACTTGTAACCACACCACAGACTGGCTAATGATGGTTTTTAGCAATAGACAAACTAGGTATTGAATTATTTTCTTCTTGACTTTACGAATAAAGTTTTTTTATTTGGGCACGCTGTCACAATATCGTCCCTTAGCTTACAACACCGCTTAAGTCATTTTTACCAACTTTACAGGAGACGAAAAAAACTGTCTAATTTAAATAATCTGTGTTTTTTTTCTATTGCTACTTAGTACATACTCTAGTTAGCGGTTAAGAAATAATTATTTATACTTATTTTAACGATTTACTTTATTTTAACTTTTATTTTATGACTTGAGCGGTGTTGACTGATATTTTATTAGATTTAGGCGGTGTTGTTTGTGAAAATGTTAGGGATTAAGGTATTAAAAGATGATTTGCAAATAAAAACTTTAATTAAAAAATATTTCAAGAAAATTAACACTCTTTATCTTATCTTTAAAAGGTATCTTATCTTAAATCTTAGGAATCACATTGTTGAGATCAATTGCTTAAAGTTATTTAGTAATACAGAAACCTCTAGTTGGAACGTAAATGAAATAATATTTTTTTTATATTAATAGGTAAATATTTTAAATATTAATCTGAGTTTAATAAACTCCAAAGAAATAACATAATTATAATACAAATAATAAAAAATACTCAAAATTATTTAGTCTTTAGTTTAGTTGCAGTCTTTAGTGATTGCTGTGTGGAAGGTCATCATAAAAAGAATGGCAATTAGATGGCAATACACTTTTTAGGTCTTGCAAATCCTGATACTTCCGCTTTGTAATTGGTATTCTAGCTGCGTACAATTTCTGCAAGCTATTTATTTGTTTAATGCTGTTAATTGGCGTGGGGCGATGTGGTAACGGGTGAAGATCGTCATCAAAACTAACTTTATACCAAATTGTGCCATTTGGTCTGTATTCTAGCATACGTAAATCTGTGACGACAGGGTCACCTGCTTTTTTACCAGGTCTTATAGATTTATAAATTAATTCTTTCGAAAAGTCTGTAAAAAAACTATAGTCTAAATAACGAGCTTCGTAGGGCATAGGATCACTCCTAGCAGTTTTACTTATAGCCATGTATTGATGTGGAAGGTAAATTTCTTTACCTTTTAATTTACACTCTATGGCACTATGTACCGAATCACATTCCATGTGAGTATGGCCTTTTTCCAGGTACTTTTGAGTAATCAAAATATTTTTTTCAATCGCTAAACGTAATAAAGCATTGCTTAAGGTAACATTGCGATTTTGAGCACAACAACCATCGGAATATAAAACCACAGGCAATAATTTTATACTCAAAACCTTCTCTAGATGGTCTACTAAGCATGAAGCAAAAACAGAGGCTTCAAGCGTACTATTTGACTCATCAAACCAATAACACATTACTTCCTTAGTTGCTATATTGTATAATGTAAAATTATGGACGCATAATTTAGTTTTATAATAAATTGCACTAGCTTGAAGATACGGGGCTAATTTAACCGATTCCACATCCTGTGTGAACACGTGACAGGCTCCGGACTGTGCAATTCCTTTGTCAGTATCCTTCTCTTTCCTGGCTCGATCTTTCTTCAGAACATGTTGAGAGTATTCTTCATCAGTAATGTTTCCAGTTTTATGACTGCAACAAACGTCGCATTGATCTTTCTTTGGGTGGAATAGGCTAAGATTGAGTTTCAAAAATAATTTGTCAAATAATTTACGGCCAAGGCATTCTCTACCCTCTAATTCACAATTATCTTTATATGCGTGATAGAGCTGTGTCATGTTCGAGAAAATTGGTTCTAAATATTCTCGTGATGTTTTAGCACGACAGTAATGCGACGGCATCTTTGGAAGATCTGCTAAAAACTTTTCAACATGTATGTGGTCTTCAATTTTCCCTGGATTTCTACGATTACTGGTTGAAGTAGACACATCGGGAGGCATAGCACAATCGGTTTTTGTCAACCAATATCTTATAAACCAATCTTTAATTCCAAGAGTGGCCAAGAACATTTTTTTGCAGACTTGGTGACGAACATTATCAATCGTCAAAACGTAAGTTCGACTATCAGTTCTCTTGGATGATTCTGGATTTTTTGTAACTTTCTTCGGTACTTTATTAACGTGAGAAGTTATAAATGATCTTCGCTGCTCCCAGTTCATGTTCTTCCAGAAATTTTCAAATAAATATTTACGCTGTTGCTCGTTTATGTTGTCACATGACCTGAGTTTGGATTTCTTGCAAAACGCAGAAGTGCATGGTGGTTTTATGGATCTTGCAGGCTTAAATACGTCTTGTTTCACTTTAAATGTTTCATTAATCTTTGCTTTTCTGTCTCTTCTGTAACCTAAATAATTTTCACCCTTCATCCGTAATTCTTTATTTATATTGCGTTTATATTTATTTGGATCTTTTGTCGCCTTGTTCTGTCGTTTTTTATGGCTTAACAAATCACCGTGATAAGCAACATTACTGAGTATGACCACTTTTGAAGAACATGATGGAGTAGCAGAGTCGCTGGATTGCTGTATATTGTTTTGGATTGTTTTATTTTCATCTGTGTTAATTACTCTATCCGAAACTGGGTCTTGAGTATTCGTAGTTAAAGCTTCAATGTCAATATTTCCTAGTTCTTGTATAACGTTCTCACATTCTACCGAGATATTGGCTACATTCAATGCAGAAGGCTGAGGATACTCGATGGTCACTGTAGCAAATTCGGGTGGTATATGTTGCAGATCAAAGAAGTCATTACCAACTTTTTCTACAACTTGTAGATTGTGAATGTCAATGTTTTCAATATTATCCAAGTCTATGTTCTGGTCAAATATTGTGTTTACATTATCCTGGCTACTTGTAATACTTTTTATAGACTCCCCGAAGCTTTGATCATTTATTGGTGTTGCAATAGTTTCATATTTATTAGTAGAATTGCATGCTTTAGTGTCAGAAGAATTAATGTTATTTTTTTTATTCAAATCTGAAATAAATAATAGGAATTATTGCATTAAAAACATAAATAACAAAAAATAAACGCGGACCTCATAACAAACCCATAATACTAACCTAGTTTAATTTTTTTTTTATCTTCTTTGCTACTTTGTTTACTCCGTTTAATATGCCTTGACATCAGTCCTGATTCTTGTAATTGGCCAAATAACCATTCATCACCTGAACTAAGATCACTCCAGGAATCTATTTCTTCTCCATCCATAGCGTATTACAATTATTGAGTATCCTAAAAGAAATAAAATACATTTTGAAACACCGCCTAAGTTAAGAAAAAATATTTAGTAAACACCGCCTAAGTAAGTAAAGATATTATTTTATCATTTATTTCTAAATTAATACGCGTAAATTAATAAACATTACTTTATTCTATAGCTTACCTCTTAATCTTCTATTTAAACTTCTTGCATAGACGTTTCAGCTATAAAATTCACATATAAATTGAATAATCACGGAGCGCGAAATATTTTCGCGAGAAAAGTATGACAGACTAACGACTTGGGCGGTGTTGCGACGCCAACTGACTTGAGCGCTGTCACTATTTTTTGAATAACGGCTTTTGATTGGCTGAAATCCGTTTCATGAGACCAATGGTTCGACGCGCAAGGCGCAGCTTCATCCAATGGCATTAAAATGTAAAAACCGCCAATTTTCGACTTGAGCGGTGTTGTTAGCTAAGGGACGATATTTAAAGATGAACACATTCATAAAAAATATTTATACTCTATTTAATATTATTAATTAAAATAATATTTTAAACGTAAGAATTCATGCGAGCGAGAAATATTTTACAATTTTTTTTATCATTTTAGTAGAATGACAATAAAATATACCATTTGCCATATTATTGCCATATATCATCGAACACCTAAATCAGGGCTGTCCAAACTACATACCCTCGCGGGCTAATTAAATTTCTTACAAAAACTGGGGGGCCAGAAAAATATTTTCAGTTGTATAATGACGTTTAACATTATATTTTTTACTCACAGACAATACTTGTAGACAAATCATACACTGAATTTTATTATTGTTGTTACATATAAGATGAAGATGTTGAGATTAAAATGTGTCGCGGGCCACATGAAACCAAAACGCGGGCCGCATGCGGCCCCCGGGCCTTTGTTTGGACAGCCCTGACCTAAATAATAAATTTAAACCAAACGTTTTATCTTATAACCTATTTATTTTTACAAACCATTACTCCATTTCAATGCGCAACCACTGTGCAACTGTGCCTTTGAATGACACTTCTTACATTTAAAAAAAATCTTGTAATTAAAATTAAAAGCTGTGTAACATACACAGTGTAGCTATCCCTAGAAAATATTATAACCGTTAAAATTATAATAGCTAAATTAAAGATTATTTTCATTTAAAGAGTAATAATAAATCAGGGAATATTCTGATAATTTTCCCAAAATAACGGAATGAACGGTACGTACAGATAATACACAGATAAAAACAGTTCCTCCAACATTCAATAATAGTGACGTGCGTGCACACTGCACGGAGGGGATTGATATCCGATAGAAGAAATTCGAAAGGTTATTTTGTTTAATTTATAATGGTTAATTAATATGAATTTAGGAATAAAGTGTTTATATAAATGAAATGAAAGTGTAGTCAATAAATAAAGTCGTTATCAATCAAGTTTACCCATGAATTTAAGTTAGATTTTGTTACCGCGGGAAAACTGTGAAACGTTTGACTAGTATAATGGCCGCAAAAGCGCCAATGCTTTACGTGTTTGCTCTTAAAGTATGAAATTTGAGTCCAAATAATGCGTCTCCAATGCTTTATATGAGATAAAGAAATCATAATTGAGATGGACATCAACGCTGGTAAGTAGCAAATAATTGTTACAAGAAGATTTTAGCTTATTTTTTCAAATGCTTTGATAAATTGTGATGATAGCTTCTATCGTAACTTTTTCTCAGCGTGTGTCTGCTTTTGGTCTTGTTTATTTGTTGTTTATAGAACCCTTATATTAAAAACGGTGC